AGACAGAGAGACAGACAGACTGAGATGCTGCCTTAGGACACAAAGCCTGACAGACTGCACTGAGGGATTCAAACCTCAGTTGATTAATAAATGTGATGGGTTATTGATCCTCGGTGTCTCATTATCGGACACATTCACTCACCTGGACGTCATATTTTAATTTGATATATTTGTTTATATTATATATATTAAATAAAGTTATGTCTGTGTATGTGTGCTACCTTGGCTCGGTACGCCATCGCCCGCTTGGCCACCCCGACCGTCTGTGCTGCGGCCCTCGAACTCGCCGCCTTCCCCTTCGCTGTCACTCGGACTTTGGCTCCGGGACTGCTGCGAACTTTAGTGGTGCTGCGACGTTTCTGACAAACAAACAAAGGTTGACACACTGAAATGCTAACCAGCTAATCCAGCCTGCTAGCTAAATGCTGTGTCACTGTACTGCTAACGTCATGTTGGTTATTGTGTCAGCTTTGTTGAACATTAATTACTATGTTAGCTTAAAGTGAATCTCTGAGCATTAAACTAATATAACAGCCGCAAGGCTAAGCTACCAGCTACTAATGAGTAACAAGTGAACACTGTTAGCTTCACCGGTGCCACGCCATCGTTCTGACAGCTCGTTGTTCTGAAACCTCAAAAGTCAGAAAATGTGCACGTGTCCAAAAGGCCGTTAATCAGAAAACCACAGCACCGAAGGTCCATTGTGCCGACTATAATCATTCGCAGACGACCTGAACAGATTCTACACCAGGTTCGACACAATCGACTGCTCTGAGGACTGTGAGGCTCTGCTGGAAACCCTGCCAATCCCGGAGACAACACACCAGGCGCCATTCACTGTGGACGATGTACGCCGGCAGCTGGGCAGGTGTAAGCCAGGCAAGGCCCGGGGACCTGACGGCATTCAGGGGAGGGTGCTCAGAGACTGTGCCACAGAGCTCTCCCCAATCCTCCACGACATCTTTTGGGAATCCTACAGGACTGCTTCAGTACCCACCCTCTGGAAAACATCCACTATCATACCAGTACCTAAAAAAACCAGCCCCTCAGAACTTAATCACTATCGGCCAGTCGCACTCACTTCCATTATCATGAAATGTCTCGAAAAACTGATACCCTAACATACTGACACGCATTACACACCACCATCCACCACTGTATCAGTTTGCCTACAAGGCCAAAAGGGGGACTGAGGATGCTGTGGCATGCCTCCTTCACTCCCTCCTACAGCACCTAGAATCGAGGTTGTGTCCTGAGCCCGTTTCTTTTCACCCTGTACACCAATGACTGCACCAGCCCCTCACCTGTCACCACATATATTAAATACTCTGATGACACTGCCATACTTGCACTCCTCAACGACAATAACTCTGTTTTAAACTACCAGGACTCCATCTCCCACTTCACACAATGGTGTACAAACAGTCATCTAGAACTCAATGTTAACAAAAGAACTGATCATCAACACTTCCAGCATCCACAGCTCAGCACACAACCTCATCCATAACCCCACAATTATCAACAATGAATCCGTGGAGATTGTGGAGTCCATCAAATACCTCGGTCTAACCCTGGACAATAAACTGAACTTCGATCATCACACCAGTGACATCAACAAGCCATTACACGCAGAGCACAGCAGTATAGCACACCGACCCAGCCACCACCTCCAAACTCCATTATTCATACTGCTGCCATCCCGGACGCCAGATACAAGGAACTTCCTGCCTTGTAAACATGCTCGCTATGGCAGGAGTTTTGTACCTTCTGCCATATGCGTCCTTAAACAAAACATCCCGTTAAACAGCTATGAGTGAGTGCCTCGCACAGGACAGGGAGGGGTAAATGTGCTAAATGTGCTGCATTAAGTGTTTATTCTTGTTGTTATGCCGTGGTGTCCATATGTATTTCATATCTATGTATGTATGTCTAATAGCTATGTGCAGACTGCGGTGACACATTTCCTGTGAAGGACAATAAAGTATCTATCTAAACACTCCGGTATCGCCAACTTACAACATAGCTAACGTACTTACATTAACACAGACCAGGATGTTACCTAAAACTGACTAAACTCCGACCGCTCCACAACGTGAGCCACGTTGTTCTCGGTACCGCCTTTGGGGCAGTGGAGGCTGCTGGACTGACAGACCACCCCCCCGCTTCCTGGTGCTAACATTAGCTTCAATGTGTTATTAGCATTAACAATACTAATTAATAGTAGTGACTCACTGAGGTGGAGAACTCCTTATAGACGGCTCGATCCTGAGGAGACAAAGACTGGAGAGAAGAAATAATCAGACATTTTAATTAATGATCTGTTCTTTGTGTGTTTGGCCTTTAGAGGGCGACGTTCAGACTAGACTTGTTTCCATTCTCGTATTTTGAAAAATCACATAAAAGAAATGCTCTTAATTTTATTTCTGTGTGAACTGATGCTGTGGTTGCCGTGGCAACAGTGCAGTTGCCGTGGCGCCGTTACCTTGACCCAGGCCTCCAGCTCGGCCTTGTACTCCACCTGCTGCTCCTCCACCATCTTCTTGTACTTGTCTTTCTGAGTCTGGCTCAGTTTGTGCCACCGCTTCCCGATCTCCACCATCCGCTCCTTCAGGCTGAAGTGGTTCAGCTCGCCGTTGGTCAGCAGCTCCTGGGAGAACATCTGATAGCCGCTCCTATTGGACGCAAACACCAGCGTCAACAGTGTGCAGCGCTAGCTAATGTTAGCTTCCCTATGATGCTAACTCATGTATCCTGATGTTAGCCAACAATAAATGAAGCAGAAGCGGAGAGCGATGCTCGTAACATCTTACACCGGAGAACAAATTGATGAATAAAGACAATAAATTAATTGATCGTAAAGACAATCAGTAGATAATTAAATAACTTATAAGTAACGACATCATTGTCTGACGTCCACTCACACTGGAGGTTTCTTTGGTTCTCCGTCAAACTTCGGTTTCCTCTGACTCTGACCTGCTGGTGGAGCCCTCATCTCCAACAGCTCCCTCTGCAGGACACCCACAGTCAGTAAACACATCACACACACATACCCACAGTCAGTAAACACATCACACACACACAAACAGTCAGTGAACACATCACACACACACAAACAGTCAGTGAACACATCACACAGTCAGTCAGTGAACACATAATAAGATTAATGTGTCGGGGGGGCGGAGGGTCAGTGTCGGGGGGGTGGCTCACTGACCACAGGTTGGTACTGAACCTCGTAACGCTTCTGGTCCTCCGCCGCCTTCTTGATCCAAGGAATCTTCTCCTTCTTCTCCATCGACTTCCAGGCCGCCTCCATCCCTGCCTGAGCCTTCCTGCGGTCGCTCTGTGGGTCACATGACCAACAGTGGGACGAGTCACATGACCAACAGTGGGACGATATTAAGACCGAAACTACGCAGTAATACAATGATAATGTAATTAGATGTAATGATAATGTAATTAGATGTAAGGGGAATTCATTCCAACGCTTAACTCATACATCATCTTAAATCATAAGCTTTCAAGCTCCTGCTTCATTAGTTCATTAAAGAGCTTGAATGGGGAATTAATAGTTTTTAAACATTTTGAGCAATACAATCCCATGCCACGCACATTACCTTTACCTCGTTTTTCATAATTAACATTTATCTCTTATTGATATCCTTCTCTCTTTAAAAGTAATACCACACCACAATACTGTGTTACATCTGAAAATATTAAAAATACAGCAAAACATAACAGGCTTGAAACTCTAATATTTTTTATACTATTGAGCCAATTCATAGTAATAGATGTTATTCCTCTATCTTATTGCAGCTTCCTAACCCCCAAATATTTGCGGTTCCAATAGCTTCTCGTGTAACCCTCACAATTCACCTTCCCCAACATTCCGAACATATGTACTCTAATATACATGTACAGCATTTGTAATTCATACACATACATAATGGACCATCAGAACTGCACACAGAAACTGAATTGAATTGTAATGTTAGAAGTAAACAGATCCTACACGAGTAACCCAAAACATCGAAACTCACTTCTGATGTTAATTGATTAGATCAATGGTTTGGCGTGTATTGGTTATTTCTTCAAAGCTTTCTGCCTGTCTCAGGATTAGATAGTACAAGAACGAACTGACGCGGACCACGCTACATTTACAACGCCACACGAACATACAACCAAAGAAACTCCATAACCAACCCAAGAGTTATGTGAAGAATCACAACACTAGGCAAAGAATAACATGAATTAGTGAAGTACACAGATAATGATCTCAGCCTCAGGCAGACTCACCTCAAAGGTTTAATAGTTTATGAGGTCTCTGAGTCTACCTCTCGAGCAAACTATATATCTCGACCTACCTCTATGTATTACAGCACATCATCCAGATCTCTCCAAGAAACCCTCCCGACCTCATCCGATACTCTAACCATCAAATCCGCTACCTTATATGGACAGTATACCAGAGCCAAATACCGCCAAATATCCTACGCCGAGCATGAGCAACCACCTGGACTGACCCAAGACCTGTCACACACCGCAGTACAAACAGAAGCTGGGAGACCATGGACAAAAAAGCAAGTGCCTCTCGCAATCAACTAGAGTCCAAGAGTCGAGCAAAACACACAGGACCTACTTCTGAGAAATCTCAATAATCGTTCGTTTATTACTATTTCCTGCGCGACACAGCAAAAAAGATCACACCTTAGACATCCCCAACAATACAAAAACGATAGAGAGACGCTCCAAGCCGAACCGCAGAAAGAAAGAGTTTGAGAAGCAACATACCGCGAAGTATTACACAGTGAGTCCAACTCGAGGGGCTACTAAACTTAACTCCACATATGAACAAATGATATAATAAACTAATATGTCTATTACTAATCTATTTATTTGTTTAACTTAAAAACTTTCATATAATGTTAACTAACTTAATAATTTCATGTTAAATCCTACCCGACTTTTACTCTGCTCCACCACTAACAAACCGTAATATAAACACTTACTGAGATCATCAACACTAACATTTATACTCTGTTATCATACCATCCTAACCAACTCTAATTTGTTAACCTAGACTGTTATACCTAACTGTCTAAACATACTTATATTAATCTGTTCACACACCTAATCTCGCTAAACACACACATTTTATATTTTAACTAACTTAACTAACTGATTTTTAACAAACATAACTTTTATCTGATATTAACACTAACTGCTACAACTGTTAACTAACTGTCTACACACACCTCAACTATTTGTTCCTAACTGATCAACTAAAATGGAAACTACTGTTCACTAACCTAACTTTATCTGTTAACTCAAATTGCAACTAACCTTTAAACACTAGTTACCCCACCTAACTGGTTAATATACTGTTAACTATACTGTTATATCTAAACTATTACTGTTATTCTATAAACTAATCACTCGTTATAATTAACTCAAATACTGATTAACACTAACTGTTCATACACCATCTAAACATTTATCTGTTATATCAACCTAACTCGTTATAAACCAACTTATCAATGTATATAACTAATTGCATACCTACATTCATTAAACTGTTAACACTTAATAAAACTATTACACACTACACACAAACTTTAAATCTGTTAACTAACATGCTACACTCAAACCTTTACTCTGTATAAACTCACCACACCTCAATGCTCAACTAAACTTTTAATCTTTATATATTAACAACCATAAACTGCTAACTAACTTTTATACATAGATTAGAACACATAACTGCTAACTAATCCTTTCACCACCTTCTACACTCAACAGATATAAAAATCTGATAAAATAATCTGCTTAACCTAACTCAATACTGTTATTAACTAACTAGTTTACACGTAACTCTTAATCTGTATAACTAATTGTAACTAACTTTAACTGTTAACTAACTGTCTATATCTGTTATACACTGTTAACTAACAATCTAACTGTCTTAACTCAACTATGTCACCACGTATCAATCTCTGCTGAAGAAATGATTTTTAAATATATTATATGCGAATTCTTACATGCCATAGAAACCATACCCTGTATATACTACAGTACCCATTTAACTTTGTGACGTTAATTAAAGTCTTTTACAACGTGGTAATCGATCCTTACAGACAACGCACTCTCGCAAGAGAGAGAGATCATCCTGACGCACTCATACCACAACGATACCAACCCGAAGTTCCGATCCTTACCAGAGAAACCTAAAACTACCTACAGCCAGCTTTGCTGGATTAACACACCCCAACTCCGAGGAAGAAGCGCGTACATGAAAGAACTTTCCTACACTCTACAGAGGTAACAAACCCACTAAGAATAAAATAATATTACCTCACAAACCTATAACCATCAAACAAAGACAGAAGAAAAATCACATACAGTATAATATAAACTTCTCACAGTCCGTTAATACACTCTAAAGATGGCCTCGGTTTTCCGTACCACTGCCTCTCATCACATCACAATAATGCTGAGAGGTCTTCTTCAAAATAAATAACTATCTTAAAAGTAACCAATATCACCACAATGTCATACTTTAAGGGTCAACTGACCAGCTGCTCTCTTGTTCCAGGTAGTCAAACAGACCGCCGATCGAGGGTCTCATTGAGCTCGACACACACGCTCGCGTCCTCACCACCAGCCTGTCTGACAAGAAGAGACTGAAGTGGATCAGCAAGGCCCTGGAGGCTCCAGAAAGACTAACAGGTACCTGAAACCAGACCTGAACCTTCCTTTTTCTAGTCCCAGAGGCTGATTCTGTTCCTGAATAATCCTGTGGTCTGGTTACAACCAGGATCAGGATTATTCTAGAGCCAGAATCAGGAACAGTTTAGACCTGAGCAGGTGTTCAGGACTGAGGAACTGAACATGGGTTTCTGTAACTGTGTGTGTGGTGTGTGTGTGTGTTTGTCTGTGTGTGTGTGTGTGTGTGTTCTCTGTGTCTGTTGGGTGTCTGTGTGTGTGTGTGTCTGTGTCTGTGGTGTGTAATGTGTGTGTCTGTGTGTGTGTGTGTCTGTGTCTGTGTGTGTCTGTGTGGTGTGTGTGTGTCTGTGTGTGTGTTCTGTGTCTGTGTGTGTCTGGTGTGTGTCTGTGTCTGTGTGTCTGTGTCTGTGTCTGGTGTGTCTCTTGTCTCTGTGTTCTCCTGTGTGTCTGTGTGTGTGTGGTCTGTGTCTGTCTGTGTTGTGTGTGTGTGGTCTGTCTGTTTGTCTGTCTTGTCTGTGTGTGTGTGTGTGGTGTGTGTGTGTGTGTGGTGTGTGTGCAGGGCAGTATGAGAGCGTATCCATGAAGCTCATCCCCGATGTGAACTCTGACGATCACTGTTCGGTCCTGTCCTCACCAAAAGCAGAGAGAAGCTGAAGGACAAGTTTCGACGGAACGGCCGACAAAACCGCCACCGTGAGTCTTTAATGAACACCTCCGGCTAAACCGAGCAAAATGCTAACAAGTAAAATAAATAAACAAAAATGCTAAAAGGTACAATCAGTAAATGGCTTAAACGTGTGTGTGTTTGGTGGCCTAGTAAAACGGTGTACTTCTTGGTAACTGTGGCGGAAGCCTGGATGGTGAAACATGAAGGACGTCCCAGCACCGAGCGGCATGGTGCTGTGCAGTAAACAGTGGGAAGATGATGACGAAGAAAGAGAAGGACAATGTTTCAAGAAACGCTGCGAGCAGGTTGGTACAACCCGCTGACATCAATATCCCAGGGAATCATTGTGTTGTCACTTCCTGCTGACTGACCGTTTGTGTCTCATCCAAGAGGAAAGAAGCCAGTATGACGTCGATCACGTGACCCTGCAGAGGTTCCTGGAGGTTCGTGAGCTTCCAGGCTCAGTATAATAAAGGTACGCAAAAAAACAAAAGCTAGAAATGTACAATATAAACCTGGTTTTCTGTCTCCAAAGAGTCTCCCCCGAGGAGGACGAGACCGAGTCATGACCGAAGAAAACTGAGGCGGGGGCCTAGACTGGGAGGTGGCGTAGCCCTCCCCAGCCGCAACACAGAAGGCCAAGTCCTCCCCTTCTGCCCAAGGGTCTGAACTGTCGTACCGTCTGTAAACTGGTTTTATGAAAACAGCCAATAAAAAACCGACCCCTGTGAGGACCTGTGTTTAGTCGTTGTTTTGTTTTAACCTCCAGTGAAGCCCGGCAGGTCGGGAGGGCCGGAGCCCAGAGCCGTGGGTTCGCTGCCGCACTGCCCAAAAGTGAGACGGGACGGAAAGAAGAAAGCTTGCGAAAAGGCTCCCGCAGAGACGGCCGAAACCAGCGAGTAAGGATTGTGGCAACACAGTTGTGATCCGGAGACGTCTCTGGTCTAAATACAGAGTGAGCTTTATTTCTAAATTTTAAATTACATTATCTATTACATCTAATTAGCATTATTATTAGCATCCTAATTACATTACTCATTACATCTAATTAGCATTAATCAATTACATCTAAGTTACATTATATTACATGTAATTACATTCATCGTTACATTATTAGCTTATTATTACAATCCTAATTAACATTATCGTTACGATTAATTACATTATTATTACATCTAATTACATTATAGTTAATTATTACATTATGTTACATCTAATTACATTTGTTACTTAATTTAATTTGTTACATTATTACATTATCGTTTCATTCAATTAATTATGTTCCTCTAAAATTACTTATCGTTATCTAAAAATTCATTATCATTCATCTTATTACATTATCATTAATCATAATACATTATTATTAAATTAATTACATTAAATTCA